ACGGCTTCAACAGTGTGCACACTCATACTGGCTGACACGCCCCACCGGTCCGCAATGATGAGGACTGTATACAACAACATTATAACTAAGAAAAACAAGGTGGGCGTGTTTGAACTGAATTTAAATATCTACAAGAACTTACTGTTGTTTCAGGGATGATCTCGCAAGATACCAAGCAGTAGGTTGCCTAAACGATAAAGCAATTACTACGAGGCTCTATTCAGAAGGAAAATTTTCAGAACGGAAAAATGCTACGAACACGTGCACTGCGACGAATGCATTGCTTTATTTCCTGGGTACAGCATCGTTGAGTGAAACCATGGGGTGGGGGGTGCTCTTAATCGCTGGGGAGGGGGCCTTCTCCCCACCTCCCTCGACTGAAAATTTTGGGTGAAAAACTGGAAAACTGTGGGAAATTTTGGAAAAACTGGTAGGAAGCTGGGAACTTGTAGGAAAGTGGTAGGTAGGTGTTGGGGAAGGGGGGGGGTCGTACCGAGACCCTCTTTAGGTGGGGGAGGGGTCGTACTGACACCACCATTTCACACATCACGATGCTGAACCTTGCCTGCTGAACCGTATAAGGCGCACCCCTGTATTAGGCGCGAGTTTGCTTCCGACGCAGAAAAGCTTTATACATCACTTTCCTTACCCTTTGTTACTTTGGTGGATTAAACATTCTGTATTGAGTGAGAATCGTTTGAAAACCAAATAGGACACTGATTTATGCAAAAGACCGAAAAACAGTCTGTCTGCTTCAATTACCAGGGATCAGTGTTCGGGACGTTGAGCTCGTTCTCAGAATTGCTTGCTTACATGTTACAGGAGCTTCTGGTGGAGCTGTCAAGGTCGATCTCAGGGATCCTCTTGCTGTAGAGCAATTTTTACATGAACAGGCGGGAGCTGCCGCCGGTTCGTGTAAAAAAGGTCTCCTGTCTATTAGTGAATGTTCGTGTTCAAACCAGCACTCGCCCGTTCTTGTGCATCTCTTTCTTATCCTTCCTCGTCTTCTCCTTGAAGACAGTCCATGCGCTCCAAATTCCCTCTTCCTATGCGTCCTTCCTTGTGCAAGTAATCTGGCCCGCAGTCTCTAAAAGTCCGGCGCAGTTCGGCGACGGTGAGGGGGAGGCATTTGCTTCCCATCGATGTGTCGACCTATCTAGATACCCTATCCTTGACATGTTTCGCTATGGTAGCTAGACGACCTTGCACAAGTCACTATCGGCTTACAAGTTTCACCAGAGTGAGACTTGTAAAGTCGATAGTGAAGCAGTGAAAGTGCAAAATGTCCCTTCCCCCCGTCGCCAAACTGCGTATTGGACCGCCGAATCTCAGAGACTTTTTTCTGCGCCAAAATTTCCTTTTTTGCGGTTTCACAATAAGCAACGAACGGTGGTCCCCATAAGTGGGGGTTCAGAGGCCGCTTTAGCTGTCCCGCCCACCAAAAACCAGAGACTATTTTCTGTCGCGCTTTCATCTGCTTACGCTAAGATTTCCTATATATTCTTCGCTCTTAGACGGTATTAGCATTGGAAGACGCGAAGGAGCGGGTACTGAGCCTGAGGTGGGAACATATCTCTTTGCTGGCATGAATCGAGCAGGTGCGGAGAACTCGTCCACAGAGGCTACTTACCGGGTGTCTCTGTTCTCCATAATTTTTTTCGCCTATTCTTTTCCCGGAGAGTCACCTAGCGATTATAGGTTTGTAACTGAGCCGAACTCTTCACAACATGCAGGGGTTTGCTTTGAGGAACTGAGGGTCGGTATGAGACTCGACTTTTACAAAGGTGCCCTACTGGCACAGATAGGGGAGAGTTGAGCGAGCCCGAATAACTTTTTATAACAGTTCGATCCTTTCTGAATAGGAAGCCTCAGCGCCTGAGAGGGAGCGCTGTTCGGTGCTGATAGAAACCTTAGTTGTTCAAGACAGAGTGGGAATCGGAGAGCGTGTGTAGCCAGCACTACTGTGAGGATCACGATAACTCAACGCTTGGCAAGAACCGTGTATTCGACCTTCGGGCATCGTACCCCACCTGGCATCAGCTTCTTTGGACCTTGATATATTGAGCTGTTGAATATTTTGTTGTCTCTGTTGCTGATTTTCGAGAAAATCTCGTTTCTTACGATCGCGCACTCGCACGTAACGTTGCCCCCCCGACCACGGTTACGGCCCATCGCGTTGTGCAAGTCCATGAAAAAAATGCGACGCCACCCTCTCCCTATGCTACCCACCACTTTCCTAGATTTTCCCAACTTCCTACCACTTTTTCCATTTTTTCCCGAAACATTTTTTCCAAAATTTTGCTGTTGAGCGAAAGGGGGGGGGTGTAGAGACGTCGTCAGAATTTAACTATCATTTTTCAACCATCGGAAATATTGTTGTGTAGATCTTTGGCAGTCTCAACGACCAAATACGACCCTCTGCCCCCTTTATAACGTCCGTGAAACTAGAGAAATCAACTATCAAAAAAAATTCTCAAACCAAACACGACCCCCCTCCCTCGCGGTCCAATACGCTCCCCCGTAGTGATCTTCACAACGATGACGTGCCCTGTCTCTGACTCACCCTTGCTCTTCCTAGTCTTGCAGTCCACAGTAAAGGAGGATATTTCTACTCTCCGCGGCTTGTGGAAGCTAGCGAAAGAAAAAGACAGAGATAAGGATCTCCTCTTGAAGCGCGAGACTGAACCACTATCATGTGAAATTCGCGCACGGTGATTTTTTATGTGGAAGCTCGATCCGAACGGAAACGACATTTGGTGGGGAAGCGCATTTGGCAGTTTTCTTGCCAAACAAAACGAAGAAAGAGACGACTTAGCTACTACTCACCAAATAGGCAACAAAAATTACGTAGATCGCTGTTGGAGCAGCTAAAAGTGCCAGGATAAACCACTCTGTGCCCAATGAGGAAGTAACGTAGTCGTAAATGAAATACACGTTGATACTGAGATTATAGGTCGCTGCTATCAAAGAAAAAGTTGGAGATGGACCTTGAAAAAAGTGTTCCTCTACTTTTGCATAGAGAGAACTGACTGATTGTTCTTGGTCGAATAGTAAGGATTTCATTCTACACGCATGAGTTAGCCATGCCCATTGTGATTGAAATTGTCCTTATGTTACGTAGTGTTGTGTTTTTATCATTGTCTATCAAGGTCGAGTAGGATAAGTTATTCAAAAGCGAAGTTGGCAAGACGGCTAAATCCCTGCAGACTGAATAGGAAGTTAGGTAGGACTGGCAGGACCGGGAATTCGCTTGCCCTGAGGTTAGGCCGGCTGGCGTAGCGGCTTCTCCGAGGAAGGTATCCTTACAAGGCCGCTATCAAGCTGCCAACATACCGAATACGGCGCCAAAGCGCCGCCGAGCCCCACCCACAGAGTGGACTACTGTACCTGATGCTTGTCTTGCTTCATTTGCCGAAGTAAAATATGGAGCGAAGGGACTGATATGAAGCGGCGGCCGCGGTGCTGCATGGATGTATGAGTGCATACGTGCGCCGCATCTACCGTAGCAATTACTGGATGCCTGCCGGTAAACTCGTCCGAATCTGCTTTTTGAGAATTGCCCCTGAGCGCTTTTTGAGAATTGCCTACGGTACCCATCCGAAATTGCTTTTTGAGACTTGCTTCTTTTTTCATCAAGAAAGAAATCTTTTCTTCGAAGGTTCTTGACCGTTTCACTTCGTTTTTTCGCCATTTCCCCACTTTATAGCATCCTCCTATCATTTTAGACCGAGTAGCAGATTATCGTGCCGTATGCCTTCAAATCTCAATCCTTTGGAGATCGATATGAAGTAAAATTATCTGGAGTTTCAGGTGGTCTGAGTTTTATTGTTTAATAACTGCTGTTTAATGCGCGATCCAATTGCGATGCGGGTTCGAATCCCGCCCGTGTTTCGACTTTTGCCCACAACTCAGCATTCTTGTGATAACTACCTAGAGTCGTATCCTACACACCCTCAAAATGCAAGCAAGTGCCGATCGATTCCCGTTCGCGTCTACAGCATTGAGGTGGTGGCGCGTCGACGCGCGTTACAGCGCTATCGCGAAGTCTGAACGGCGACAGTAATGGGCGTGATTTCTGTTTGCAATAATGTGAAAAGCACGCAATACTTCTTGGAAGCTCTTATGGTGGTAAAACAAGGCCTCTGTCGGGTCTCAATATTTGTATACATTTTCAAATAACGAGCTGGTGCCTGGAGAGCCACCACGAACATAAGCCACACATCAACGGCCATGAGTAACAGACTGCTTCAGAGAATCCAGTCAGTATACGAAAAACGAAGCGAAAGCTCAATGAACGAGAGTCGATACCTTGAACTCCTGAAGCTGTGCATAATTTTGCGACTCGATGTGAATGTGATGATTGGAATTAGAGCAAACGGCAACTGGACCATTTGAATACAATTCAGGAAGTCATTCATGCCTGAAAACACGACTAGTTTATGGAATGGCGATTGTTGAACAATGTAAAGCACCGCGCCACGTAAAATGAGCTCGTCAGTCTGCCCTTGCTCCTTCTGCGGCCAAAACAAAAATGTGGGTCAGTATATGGGCACCAATCCTTCTTACTCAAGTCTCATTGAGGTTGGCCGGATGCCAGACTTTCCTCAAAGAGTCTCAATTCAGGGCCCCTGTCGCCTCATGGTAGATTCACCTGTGGGGTCGCCTTACATAATGATTTCTCGCTGACTCGTGATATCGTCAGCAGACACGGGTGAGCCAAAACAGCATGGAAAGCAGCTGGCAAAAATTATAATAAACGCAGAAAAGTGAAGAAAAGTTGATCCTTGGCCTTTATAACATAAGGAAACAAGGACTGAACTGAAATAGTACCGCACGTCCACAAAATGAAATATAGCAGCGTAAGTGGTAGAAAAATGCTTGCTTCAAAAGTTCCCAGAACACCAAGGTTGTCCCGCACCTATGGTGCGACGCAGCCTCAGAGGCGACTTCAGCTAACAAGAGGTCATTGAATTCACCCGCAGATCGCCACAAATCGAACAAATTCGGCCAACAAACTAGAAAAGGCCACGAAGCTAGGAGCAAAAAATGCAGGCAAGAGTCTTCACCGTCGCCCACAATAAAAAACGAAGAAATTTTGTTCCAAGTGATGAGCGAAACCATAATCTGCCAACTCGGACTCTAGCCTGGCGCTTTGGAAGACTTTTCAAAAGCGATGGGCTTCCGTGAAATGGGCGAGCTTTTGAGAAGCCCCAGCTGCGCTTCTCTATGGATGGCACCAACACCTTAGAACTCTACATCGATAGATTGAGTCG